CAGTTGAAATGCACAGATGCAATCCATGATATTTGTATAAGTTCCACTGAGAAACCTTTACATTTCTCTTCTTCCCTTCCTTTTTTTACGCGCAAAACTTATCTATATCCGTTCATAAAACTTTTCCCCTTTCGTCCCTCGTCATTATTTGCTAATTTTATTGAGTTTAGAAAAAAAATTTGGTAAATTTTTAAACTTAGTGAATTTAGCAAGAATAACGTATATTTTTTTTGTTGAATAGAAAAGAAGCTTACGCTCTTTTTGTTGCAATTTAAAAGCTCATTTTTAAAGTTTTTCTGGTCTTTGATCGGCTATGAAACCAATGGCACTGTTACACATTCCCTTTCTTCCCCCCGCTGCCTTCTCCCCTTCCCCTCCCGCTTCCCCCTCTGTACTTCAGAATTCCTTCTCAGAATTTAAACACCAATACTTCTTTCGCCCTCCTTGAAATTTCTGTTTTCAAAAGAGAAAAAAAAAGAGATATATAGATAATTAAATTTAAAAAATAAAAAAGTGTAAGAAAATGTTAGTACTTTTGAATGCATAAAAATCTGAGCGAAAAACTTATCAAAAGTTTTTTGAACACCTCAACCCCTTATATAAGTAATACCTTTGTTTTTTAACAATCATTAAGACATACAGTTACAATTTTTTTGCTTTTTAAAATGATATAAGTGTTAAGGAACATAGTTACCTCAGTATGTTTGATAGCGGTAACTGAATAATAAATAAAAAATGAAAAAAAAAAAAAAAAACAAAACTTTTAGAAAAATAGACTAACAATCAATTTGCTATTTTTAGCTCTATAAATGTCATATGCATTTTCTGTGTTTCTGATGTATTTTGGTGTATTCGAGAAAATAAAAAGAAAAAAAAAAATAAGAGGAAAAAAACGGAAACGTTCTTTTAAGAAAGCTTTTTTTTCTCCTTCTTCTCTAAAAATGTATACCTTCCATTCAATATGTTAGTGAAGAAAAAAGAAAACAGAAAAAAAGCCGAAACAAAATAAATTTGAAAACTTTTTTTTTTTTCTTCTCAATTTTACTCCACCCTATTATTTTCCGCTTTTTTTTTTTCATTTTCCAAAAATTGTTTTTTTTTTTTTT